CAAAATACTATAATCCAACAAAGGTGTTGGCAAACAGTTTATTAATTGTGAGTAAGTGATATAAACAACAGCAATAACAAATAATATGCGCCAAGAAAACAATATTTAACAGCAATGGATGTAGAAAGATGCCAAAATTAAAAGTTGAATAACAAAACAGTATAGTACTTATGCAGTTATACTGCAGAGGGCTATGGGGGAGGGAATTTTAGCAACATTTCTGTAAGTAAAACTCAACAGTATGTGCTAGATACACAATTAAAACAGCTAAGGTTATTGGGTAAAACTCTGGGACACTTATGGTTGGTTTTGATTGCTAAAGATAATTAGAAACTTTTGTAACCCTTATTTTTCAAGCACGTAGGTTACATTTTGTAGTGAATATGCAATCTTATACGTATGCCAACGAAACTGTGTACTTTGTTGCCATGTAAGATTGTGTGTGTTGGTGTGTACCAGTCTTCCTTAAGTAATGTAATGGAAAAAAGGTGACATCTACTGTTCAAAAATTGCATCATTTGGCTGGATTTTTTTCTGAAATATCTTTTATGTTTATATGATGTAGCAGAGTTTCTATGATAGTATTAACAAAGCATGGGGACTTGGATTAGTTGCTGTGTTAAGATGGCAGAAGTAATTTTATTGTTTTCTTTGATACTTCTGCTACATTTGTACTTTGCAGTTTACCACATGACATAGAATCTTATTTATTTACTTTTAAGGTTAACTGGATAATTTTACCAGTTTTACCCTGGATGCTTCATGACGTTTCATCTTATGACGTATGCAGTTTATTTTTTTACAAATATTTAGTTTTTTAGTTTACTTCATTGAATTTCATTTAGAGTCTTTTAAATATTCTTTTATGTTGCTCAATTCTGTTCAGGTTGCATAGAGTAAGTTTTATTTTATTCTTTCGAATTTCAATTTATTTTAATTCTGATCCATTCTATTTTATTTTGACTGCTGAAACTAAATGTTAACAAGTTTAGTTTTCCTTCGTTTTTGATGTAAAAGTGTCATAGCAGTGTACAAGTAGTCTACAGAAATGATTACATTAATTAGTATCTTGTTAGTTCAAACTTGTAATTCAGCCATCTTAGTATTAATATTAAAGTACAGAACTAAAAGACTACGAAAGAAAAAAGTTGGGAGTGTAGCGGAAAAAAAACTGCCATAATTTACTTTTACATAACTATAACATAATATACTTTTGTTCATGTATATTCTGGTAAATTTTAATGCAATTGTCCTGTATGTAGTTAGTTAGAATCCTTGTAAATAGGATGTTAAAGTCATACACTTGCACTTATCCCCTATTTTACAGAAAACTTTACATACTACAGTGGTCACTTTATGAGGCTTATACTTGCTTTAACCTGTTTCTTTATCACTATTCCCCTGGAGTGCAGGTCAAGTGGTGGTACAGAGACTTGCACAAGTTAGTATGAGCTGGGGATTTACCTACTTTGAAATGTTCAATGTAAAACATTGCTCATAGAGGTAGTATAGAATTGTGTGATACTGCACTAGGAAAGTATGCTCCAAGGGCTTTTGAAATACGTTAATACGAAGATACGGCTGTCAGCTTTTTGTGAAAGCAAAAACCTTTTTTTTTATGTTTTACACTTGTCTTCAAATATTTTCAAATAATTTTAATTTAGTCCTTGCTTTAACCATCCTTGAATTTACTGTGTATTTAACCATCCACGAGTTTTCTGTGTATTGTAGATGTTCATCTGTTGTAAATCAATATACTTGAAAAACAAATAGATATAACATATCATAGATAATCTATTACACATGTCATTATAGTTGTTCTGATTTCCATCTAAATCTGGCATATGTTATTTTATAACCTTATTGGCATCCTCTTTACAGATAAACTCAGTAAGGTTACTAAATATTTATTTTTCTGTTACAAAACTTGATCAAAGCATAATCTAATAAAGAAATCAACAAAAATAGATTCAGCTCAAGAAAAATGAAGATTGCTCTCTTTATAAAAAGAAATGAGATGAGAACTGGGTTAAAGATAAAATAAACAAACAATGATAAGCTACTCCTTAAAAGTTGTGTCATACCTCCAACAATGAATATTACAAAAACCTTATCTCTAAAACACTGTACCTGCATGTGCCAACTACCTTTAATAACTGGTCATAATGTGCTGATGCAGCATGAGACCTAGTGGCATTTTTTTCATTTAAAGTCGCATCTGAAATGTAATTATTTCAACGGAGGACAAAATGTTCTTAGTCACCACCAGGGGAAAT